TGCATGCTCAAACGACGAGTAGAATGGCCAGGGGTGACCAAGATTAACCTGGTGCAAAAATTATGAAGATGTCTGCTGTTGACTCCTGTTATCTTCTGCAGCAGTTGAGAGTCTTAACAGGATCAGAAACGTTGGAAGCTCTGTTTGAGGCGTCTCTGTCCGCGATCGAAAGGAGAAGCGATCATGGAAGATGATTATGGTGACCTCGTTTCACTTTAGCCACAACTTTCGCCGCCGCCCTGCGCACTGTTTTGTACCACGTTAGATTGGAAGGTTTTTTGCTGCCAAGCCACCTATTGAATACAGCATTATTATTTACAGCCCATTGAAACTCTTGTGTGCATCAGCGGGGCAAGCCTTTTTAAACTGCTGCAACATTCGGCGGCAGCTGTGAGTAAGTCGCTTTGGAGAGCTTCCATTCGGTAGCCGCGTCATCGGTCATAACAGGATCTGTTAAAACCGCTTTGCGATGTTGTTTGCAAGTTTCGCCCTCGTGTCCTCAAAATATATGTTTCTTGTGATGATTCCAATGTCAGTGATTCTTTGGTTGCTTCTGCCACTTCCGCATTGTACAAAATCCTTTGAAGAGAGGGTACCAACAACAAGGTGATGAGAGGTTGACCTTTCTGCGCCTCTTAATGCAAACATTCGTTACTGAGCGTCGTAAGTCAAACGGTGGGATTATCAAACTGATCATCGACTTCTGTGCACAAACTTCACAAACTTCCCTGTACCAGGTATACTGATGTACGCTTCGATGTTAGAAGTGTTCATAATCGACAGACCACTGTTTGCACACAACCGCAATATCTTCGTACAGTTACTGTTGAGGTAGCTATTGCCCTTATTTCTAATTCCGCCTTTCCATTTTTTTGTGTCGGATCCAATATGTACATTGAAATCTTTTATTCGAATGATGGATTGCGTAGTCGACACTTCGTACCGGGTACCTACTTCTTCGCCTTAGGACTCATATTTTCTCTCTAAATTGGGCGCATAGACCTGTAACGCGGTTAAAGATTTAATCTCGTAATTTCAGTCTGAGAATTGCCACTCCTCTGACAGCCTTTTTTCATTCGTTGCTCCGTTAGCCAGTTTATTTTCTGCCAGAACACTAACAGTGGTTGTAGAGTTTCGCGTGGGTAGTGGAATCGAACACCTGAGTAGCCTGTGTTCCATCTACAGTGTTCCAACTGTGGTTTTTAGCCCCTTGCTTCTTAAATAACGCTTTTCTAATTGGGCATACGGTTTCTTAAAAAGAGCGTAAATCACTTTGCCTAGGATAATAGGCAGCTGCTTGACGTTTCGAACTGTATATGATAGACCTCCGTAATGCGGTTGTTTGTACTATTCTAGTTTAATTTAGTTGTCAAGTTGTAAATCCCATTTATGTAAAATGCAAGGTTTTCGCTGTTGTGTTTGAAAACTTTTGTAAGTGCGCATTTTGTGTTTCTATATTTTTGCCTATATAAAGCGCGATTTTAAAGCATGTCAGACTTTCGTATGTACTTTTCTGTATTAACGTTTTAGACCGGTAATTACGTCTTGGATAGTGATGACTTGTTGGATAATGTTCGACCCGAGTATGACACTGTGATTGCCTTCAGCATTACAAAATGGATTCATCTTAATTTTGGTGATGATGGTTTGAAGAGATTCTTTAAGCGTATCTACCGGCATCTTACTCCCGGTGGACTATTTCTGTTGGAGCCTCAGCCTTTCTCTTCGTATAAAAGGAGGAAAAAGTTGACGGTAGGTTTTTTGCCTCAGTTTACTTTGCCGTAATTTGTATTTTTAGCCTATCATAAAGCAGAATTTTCATAACTTGCACTTTAAAACTACTGAATTCACTGCATTTCTGTTGAGCAAAGAAGTGGGGTTTTCGACGTATGAACAAATTATTGTTCCGATGCATTCGTCTCAAGGTAGGACGGTTTTACTCCTTTTCATATTCTAAATGACATTTTAGGTTTTCGCAGACCGATCCAACTGTACACAAAGCCCATGCATGATCGATTTCCGGCTCAGCAGTGAAATGGTGTCACATGTTTTTGCGATTTAAAGATGTAGTATATGTTCCATGAAGTTGTATTCGATGAAAATGTATTGCAAATGTATCAAAAGAGTTCTGGCTTTAGTAAATGCATGGTACTGTCGCGAGCATTCTGTCTGAAAATTCCTCTCACTTTGCACACTTTGTATCACCGTACGGACTACTGACTTACAGAACAGAAATTTATACCTATACTCTATGAATGTATTGGAGTGTCGTCATTTTAAGGCTTTTTCAATTCCAAGGTTTTGCTACTAGATTTGCTTTTGCAACTTATTTCC